AATCCGGGTTACAAACTCAAACCTAGGGGAGCACATCAACTTTAAGAGGAAAACAACGAAACAACAGAAACTCTAAAGTGCAACAAAAAACCAAAGGACAATGTAACACACACAGAAACGAACTATAATATAACAACTGCCATTTTCCTGACTTGGTACAGGACATTTAAAAAAAAATGGTGGGTTGAATCTGGTTTTGTGTCTAGCCAAACCTCGCGCTTTTATGGCAATGTTAAATATAACACTAAAAGGACAACATTACATGACAGGACTACAGTACAAATAAATGTAAGATCATTCAGGACAGAGAAATACACAAATAAACAATCTAATAATAATTGACGCTCAGATCAAAATAGTCAGAAAGCCAAACAAGTATAAAGTTAAAGAGCATTGATGACCCAAAAATCCAAAAAGTTGTGCCAAATACGGCTAAAGTTATCTATGCCTGGAATAAGAAAATCCTTAGTAGCTAGAATAATTCATACTATAGCAAACAGTCAATTTACAAAAAAAATTACCATATAATTGATATTCATGTCAACACCGAAGTGCTGAATAACCACAGAATAAAAATTAACACGTGAAACAACCTAAGGCAGCACATAAAAACAGCATAACATAACCACGCATTGTTTATCACACGACTGGATTGACGCTACAGAATGACGTAACAGGTAAATTTCTAAAAATTTTCGTATAAGATGTATTTTATAACAATTACAAGACTTAATATAGAATTGTGTTAGAAATTAGATAATTAATTGTTTTATCTAGGTATGTCGGTATTTCTTCTGAATTAAACTGTAAAACAAATGTTTGTGTTAATATGTCTTTTGATTGAGTTAAGCCGTTTCAATTGATATTTTATAGTGTGTCACTCTATGTTATGATGGTACACTATTGTTTCAGGTAGGGGTAAAGGTTGGTACCTATTAACACGTTTAAACCCGCTGCATTTGTTTGCACCTGTTCTCAGTCAGTAACCTTATGTTCAGTGGTTGTCGTTTGTTGATTTGTCAATTTCTAGATATAATTCAAGATATGAGGCAGACTTAACTGTTTCTGTTGTTTCCTTTATTTCTAGTTCGATGGGATAGATGCGTTCAACATAGTCACCAAATTTTGAATTATTTAGTGAGAGAACATCATCTATATAGCGGAAAGTAAAGTTAAAGGATATTGCTAACTTCTTATCTTTCTTGATAAGAAGTTCCTGTATGAAGACAGCTTCATAATAATAAAGGAACAAGTCGGCAAGAAGAGTGGCACCATTGGTTTCCATTGGAATACCTACAGTCGGTTGAATAACACGTCCTCCAAACGTTACAAATATGTTGTCAATTAAGAAATCAAGCATCTTGATAATGTCAGTTTCAGAGAATTTTTTGTTTGAATGAGAGTGATTCTTTACAAAGTAGGATTTATCCCTCCCTAAGACAAGATACTTGTATCAACGTTGGCCATTTTATTTTCCGAAACAACGCAATACCAACTCTTTTAATTTGTCTTTTAGTTTGGAATTGGGAATACTTCTGTAAAGTGTAGAAAAGTCAAATGTTTTGATACTATTGCAAGATGAAAGAGTCTTAGATTGTACGTACTTACTCTAAAAGATCTTTGGAATTTTTTAGTATCTACATCTGATTCACGCCACCTCTAGCATAGGCAGTTTCACAATAACTTTGAAGCCCGGTTTTAATTGCTGATAAATTAGATGTTGATAGTTTAGAAAGAGGTTTCGTGGAGCACTTGGAAGACCCAGCAATATACCGATGTTTGTAAGGACACTTATGTAGTTTAGGTATCCAGTACAGTGATGGAAGATCCAGTTCTTCATGTTTGGTTGAAATTCCAAAGGAACATATAACAGACCTATGATCATCCAGGATTTCCTCTTTGGTAAGTGTCGTGAGGTTATATGTTTTCAAGTGAATCGTTAATACTTTATTCAATTATTAAGCAGTATATGTAATGAGATTTACACACACGAACGATGTTGTTTTGGGCTTTATCTGCGGGAACAACAACATATTTGTCATGGAGGTAGGACAAGTCTTTTGCAACATTTGGGTCTTTAAAGATCGACGCAACATGGGTATTGATAGACCCATTCAGTTTCTTAATTCTGATTTGTATCAACGACCTCACAGCATTAAGATGGGTTGTATAATACAGATGACAGCAAAACTGAAATTGTCCGCATCAGTTAAGAGTACTAGCTGTATTCTTTTTATTCAAAATATTGACAACGTATAATGATCAACATTACTGTTTACCTTGCAACAAAATTATTTTCATTTACCTGTGTACATTATTTTATTTGGTGACATGTTTTCCAAGGTTATAATTGTCTTTCTGATATCGTTTAACATCTCACCCCTTATTTTATTGATTTTGTTTTACATTGTGTCATAGATCAAATTTATTCGAACAGTGTATGTTCACTTGTTTGTGTTAATATGTCTTTTGATTGAGTTAATCCATTTCAATTGATATTTTATAGTGTGGTACTCTATGTTGTGATGTTACACTATTGTTTCAGGTAAGGGTGAATGTTGGCGCCTATTTAAACGTTTAAACCCGCTGCATTTGTTTGCACCTATTCTAAGTCAGTAACCGGATGTTCATTGGTTGTCGTTTGTTGATGTGGTTCTTTAGTGTTTCTCGTTTTTATATAGATTAGACCGTTAATTTTCCTGTTTGAATGGTTCTACACTAGTCATTTTTGGAGCCATTTATAGCTTGCTGTTCGGTGTGATCCAAGACTCCGTGTTGAAGACCGTACTTTGATCTATGATGGTTCACTTTTACACATTGTGATTTGGATGGAGAGTTGTCTCATCGGCACTCATACCACATCTTCTTATATCTATGATACAAGTATGACATGTATGAGGTGGCATCATCTGGGAATTGTTTACTCGAACTGACCATAATATTCATGAGCATTTGCTATTATATAGCCGCATCATAAATCATACATTTTTTTAACTCAAGATGGCTTGTGTAAAACAAAAGACAGCAATATTGGTACACAATGGGCATGATGATTACACAATATAGCATACATTCCGAGTGCCAGCAATTCCTCTTCGTATTCATAATATTGAACATTATATCGTAACTTAAGTCAGTAATTCAGGAAGGTTTTTTATAACAAACCTATCGACTGCATCATCGAGCAATAAGTTACATGAATGATCATATTTGTACTTTATAATGAAAGTTATGCTCAGTTCTCTTCTGGAATAGTTTAATGTTAGTATATTATGTAAGTTTATTGATTTTAGTGGTAGCTAAACATCCAGGGGCAAATATTGCATTCATGTTCAGAATGAGTATTTTTTTCGGACGTCCCCGATATCATTTATAATCTGTAAAGAAATTGACGAGATTGTTCTTACTTATAGAACATTTACACAACATCTTATATATCCGGACACTATACAATTTTCGCTTGAACCTTTTTGCAAAACAAATTTCGTAAAACCAAGGCAAACAAGATGAAATACGATGAATAATCCATGTAATGCAAAGAGTTATATATAGGAAGAGACTGTAAAAATGGGGAACGACGCAACGTAAACAATTATATTGATATACCATCATATACAATTATTTTCGCGATGCGTTAGTTAACCTTTCTATCCGCCTTCTTATTAAAAAAAATATCATTTCTATTATGAAATCTGCATGTATATTTGTCGATCACAAGTGAGTACTTCTACAAAGCGTCTGCTCCAAGTTAAGTTTTGTACAGGCTAGGACTGCACCCATCTGTAAAAGTATAAGAATGAGGCGGACGAAGCCGTCTATGTTATGTTTTAGGACAAAGTGGTCCTCATCGAGGAAATCTCTTAAAGTTTGTCATAAAATAAGGACACACGAGAGGTGTCTTATGATATCCACAAAGAGATTGGAACTCCCATTCAATTCTGTGAAATTCGGAACCCTTTTCCCACTCATAACTTAATCTTAATAAGTTGAAAGATAATAAAAATGATTTATCAATAGTGAACATTCGATGTTCATATAGCATGAATGCACGGTTTTATACTTTATTCTTATTATAACTGATACAGTGTCAAATAGAGTTTGTACAAAAAAAATAAAATAATGCCATCACTTCATTCTTTCTTTCTCATTTTGTATTTGAATTTTCATATGCATATTGGTGTAGTAATAATATATTGTTATTTATGAATAACACCCAGTACTTGGGAAACACATACTTCATTCAAATGATTTTTTAAATAAATCCATGTTAATATTATTTTTAGGATATCTATGCTAAGATCATTCTAAGACAACTTGGAGGCGAGGTTTGATATATGTCTTAACATAGTTATGAGAGGATCACTAGACATGTCCTCAGATATATCTAATTACAGGTATTTGGATGGATTTATCAAACCTGCCCCTGTAGTTGTATGTTCTCTTAACTTACAATAACTAAAAAGAGGTCATGAGGAACAAATTTAAGCATTGATCAATGCAATTATGATCAAACGAATTCGTTTAGAGCAAAGAATCAATTTAAAGAAATGTATAATTCTAAACTTTGTTCAATGCGCAGGTATTTGCATCGACATCAACTTGTTATGAACGTCTATATTTCATTAATAAAAAAACTTTAAAAGTGTCATAGTTATTGAATATTGTTTCTCGATTCATATAATGTCGGAAATGTAAATGAAGATATTTTATCATGCATCTGGCCTGAAAATGTACCTATAATTCGCACTGGCGTGACTCATTCGGTCATAAATTCATCCAACCTCTCTTAAAAAAACATTAATACATTACAAAAACAACATTTCTTTAAAAACTATTAAGAAACGAAAGAAAAAAAAAAAAAAACACTTCTTTAAGCCTTGAAGCACTCCAGGTAATTAAGACAGAGAAGCAGTTTCCGGACTACCTGCGATATTTGTCATACTACTCCTGTTTAAATTGGTTGAATAGGCCTTTTAAATCATGATGCATGACACAGATGCGGCAATATAAATTACTTTTATACTTTATCAAGTTCATAGACCATTGGCCATGAAAAAATCACTTTAAAGAAATATACCGCATGCAAGTGTTGAATTGTATTTAGTACAAGGAACACATTTAATAGCACTTGTATGTTTAGATGTACAATTGTACATGTACAAAAAAGTCCGAATTCTAAATCTTATCCTATTGTTTCAGCACCATGTTAATGTATTCTGCCTTACTATTTTGTGGATTAATGTGTAAACGGTGAAAATCATTGTCGATGTCGTTACATGTAGCAATGTAGTTCAGGTAAGCTTTCTCTTGAACGACATTTTCATAAACAGGTAGGTTGGGTTCCCCCGGTGAAGTATCATGTAAGAACCCACAAGAAATTTCACTAGCTGAATTATCCAAAGTAGTTTCATTCTCATAGATTGAGTTCTGTTTTGTAATTAGATACACATTTTCGTCGTCAGCACGATTTTGTACCACCAGTGTTGTGTATGGTTGTTCATATATACCATCATAATTGTCTACATCATTGATATTATTGTCTGACGCTACTGATGCATTTTCTGATGACAAGGTAGCTTCATCTCTATTTTCAACACCAATTATGTTGACTGTTGACAGGGTCGGACTTCCGTTTTCTGAAATGAATTTAAGCGACATCAATTATGTTGACGGTTGACAAAATTGGATTTTCGTTTTCTGAATACATTGACATTTTGCATCATTACATTAATCAGATATCGTCATTTAATCATATTTTATCATTATTGAATAAATGACATACAGTTTTTCCCCTAAATATTCGGTTTTATTAAAAAGTTATCAACTTGGATCGATGAAATGCCGTGATTTCCCAGAAATAAGAACTGATAACAGCACATTATTTAATTTCTCTGATGTCATAGAACAAAATTTGTTATCCAGACATTATTGACAACTTTTAGGGACGAATTTTTAGTGAGAACTGGAACAGATTTACAGTTAGCAAAATCAAATTTGGATGTTACCATTTCATTGGATTGTTTTTGGTCATTTGTGTACCTTGTGATGATGTCTGGTTGTTTTCGTCTTCCGTTATATCTGCATAATTAGCACTGTCGACATTACTCGCTTCTGATGTTCGGACATTTACTGCTGTCATCACCCTAAAGATGAAAGCATGCGTAAAACTAAAAAAACATTAGAGGGAGGCAAGCAAAATTTGTGAAATTTTTGTTTACATTTTTATGCAAGTAAAGTTTTAATATGTTGCCTATTAGTTGGGTTTGAAGTGATTGTAGCAATCTGATGTGTTAAGTTTTTTTTTTTTTTTTTTTTTTTTAAGTTTGTTCTTATGCTGTTCTGTTACACCACTGTCATAGATTAGAGGAGGGTTTGCCGCCAGCAAAATTGTTTGATCCTGCAATAGTTTTTATGTGCCGGACCCTAGTCTGGAGCTTGTAAATCAGTGGTTGTTGTTTGTTGCTATATAGCATATTTGTTTTTCGTTTATAGCTTTGCACTTAAATCAGTCGTTTTCTCGTCTGATTTATTTATTTTGTTTTTGATTTCGGTGATTTTTATAGTTTGCTTTGCGGTATGGGTTTTGCTCATCCTCTTAAGTTTGAACATCCTTTTGATATCTTTTGCCTCTTTTTTATACTATTTGGTGTCTGGTAGAGAGTTTAATTGGCACTCATACCACATCGTCTTATCTTTGTATTTATTTAAGGATGCTATCAACGCTGCAATATGGTTTAAATCGATTTTTAATCGGAACTAACGCAGGTTACATTGATTGGTTCGTTTTTGTACCAATTGATTTTAAAGTCAGGCAAACTTTATTCAAAATATTGTAACTTACTTTAAACTAACATTCAATACCAATGAGTATCATATGACTCGCGTCTTGCGTATCTACGTTATTTGTTTTGACATAACCAAGTCATATTCTGTATGTGTCTTTCACAAGTCAGAAGCCTGTTAATAGTGATTTGTTGCTGGTTGCTGTCAACACTGTGTTTTTGTACATACAAGAATTGCAAGACATTTTACCATGTCGCAGTATTTTATAGCTTACTATATTGTATGGGTTCTGTATTATTGATGACCGTACAACGACTTATAGCAGCTAACATGAACGTAATTTGATCTCCAGCGGATAGGTGTCTAACTGGTATTTATACAACATAGTCTTCTTTTTTCATGGTTTTATATTATTCACATTTTATAAAACAAAACTGAGCCACTGGCTTTTTATAGTATGGCCTATTTAAAATACTCGAACACGATTAAAGAAAAAAAAGGATTAAAGAAAATGTAGGTGCTGCGGTACTGCCTTGAGTTTTAACAATCATTTTGAAGCATTTCTTTAATGAAAGTCTGAACTTTCTAAGAAACGAAACTAAGTTTTCAACTCTCCGAGATGAAGTTAAACTTTGACTAATTTGAAATTTTCAAGTCCGTTTTGGTCATATAGCTTTTTGCGCGTTTAGACATGATATTAGTTTAGCTTTCAAATGATTGGATTTGAGCCTTCCTGTTGAACTCAAATAAAAACGATAATTCCGGACTTCACGATACTGGTGATGTTTTATTTTATTTTCTAGCACTAGGTCGACAAAACGGATTCTGGGCTATTTGTCACTGAAGGAATCACTGATTCAATAGTAAATGCTTTGGTACTTAAACGGTGTTACCAAGTGTACTAAAATTATCCATTTCAATTTAAAAAGCTAAAATTTACAATCCCTCACGCAAATTGGACCTTGGATAGATATAAACATGATGGCAGTACGTTTTAGCACAGACAATTAATCTAAAAGTGGTGGGTTGAACAAATGCGTTGCAGAAATGTCTTTGCTTAAAATACAACTTAAGCCTTCGTTTTTTTTACGATACAGATAGACCGAAATGAATCATAATGTCTGTTCTGAGTAATATGTAGGCATTTGTAATTTGACTTCATTTTCAGAAAAAGGCCTCATCGGGGCCAGCATTTTTTCATGAACCTTCTTTGAAACAAATTCATGGAATCTGGTCCTATCTCTTTCTTTTCATATGAACCTTTGTGCAATTATTTTTATTGATATACATTTTGTTTTTAATCCATATCTCAATTGTGCACCTATACCCGAAAATATTTTTTTACGGTTTTTTCCTTGAATAATTGTTTATGTTTGGTGCACATTTCGTATGGTATTTCTGAAAACGAAAACGAAACAATTTCATATTTGAGGAACATGCAATAATCTGAAAACAAGTGTCATATTCTTCTCGTGAAATCGACCTTTTAAAACGATTATTTTGTGTGTACACATTTCTAATGTTTTCCAAATTGTGTTTTATGTTGTTTCCCGAAATTGGAAACATGCAAAACATTTTCCTAATAGAGGGACACGCCAATAATCAGAAAACAAGTTTGTATGTTTTTATAGAAAACCTTCAAAGACCTTCTGCTTCATCTGACCAAAGAGGAATAACTGACATACACGTCATCAGTTCGCAGAAATAGCGACGTCATGCATCGTTGATGGCATGATATTGTTGCATTGACAATAAAATGATTTATCAAAATTCCAGTATAACCCATGTTATTATCCCTCTGATTCGTGCATATGCTTCATTGCTTGATCGTTTGCTGACAGCGGTAACTTTCGCACATAATCTACACATAAATCAAATACGAAATGAGTTATGAATTGTTCAACAATTTGCAACCGATTATAGGTTACTGAAGATACTATAAAAACAAGACATTTTTAAAAACAAAGCATTGCTTTAGAAAGTCTGTTTTGACCGTACAACCATCATATATTTTGTTTATATTTTCAATGCCGAATGTTAATTATAACAACCTAATTGGAGAGTTTTGTGACCAAAACGAATCAAATAAACAATCTTAGACTTTATAAGGTCCGTTTTGCTAAAACACGTGATATCCTAAACATTTTTGAAATTGAACATTCATTACACAGACAAATTTTTATCAAGTGATTTTCACATGAATCTTGCGAAAAGTTCATGTAAAATATCTCAAATTTACAACTTCCAACTAAAACTAGATTGGAAGTGAATATTGTTATGTGCATTTTACACGAATTGAGGTTCACATTAATCGAATGTAACATTTTTTACGTGTATTGCACATGAACTTTTCCAAAATATTGTATTTTGTATGATTCTAACTAAACGTTCCTAATATCGTAACTACAACACCGTTCCCTTTTCACGAATTTGACCTACCGAAAAAGACTTGTTACCGGTTTTGTACTAACAGGAGAAAAACGATGGATGCACATGTGGAGCAGGATCGGCTTTCCTACCCTTCCGGAACACCTGAGATCACCCCCAATTTTTGGTGGGGTTTGTGTTGCTTTTTCTTTAGTTTTTTTATGTTGTGTTTTGTATACTATTGTTTGTCTGTTTGTCTTTTTTCTTTTTAAGCCATGGCGTTGTCAGTTTGTTTTCGATTTATGAGTTTAAATGTCCCTCTGGTATTTTTCGCCCTTCTTGAATTACTTTGTTTGAAAATTCATGTTATTTTCTCGTGAAATTTACGTGAGTTTCATATGATATGCAAGTGAACAAAACGTAAATGAAAAACCATTAGTATCGGCTTGAATTTTATTGAAATATAATAATTTTGTCTAAAAATAAGAAACAAACCTCTTCTTGATCTTCTGTTTAAAGTAACCTACAATTTGAAATATAAACAACAAAAGTTCTTCTTTTTTATTAATCTTTCACATTTGATTAAAGTCAAACTTATATCTTTTTTCTTTATTATACAGTGCTCATTCCAAACCATTTTTAAAGCCTTGTCTTAATGCGATTACAACTTTATGTTCAATAATTATGCAATGAACAATTGAAAATTGTATTGTTAAGTTGTAAAGACACGTGGACAGTTTCATATTATAATGTAATAAGTAAGCTAATTTCATTGTACATTTAGTCGACTATCGTGACAATCCTGAAAACAAATTGTATAAAGCATGGTCATATATTTTGCATATGCATTGTAATGTTTATATTGTCGGTGTTACGTTTTGATTTTTCTGGTAGATATGTCGTCACTATGATAACTAAGACTTACGAACAAATAATCCGATCCCTACTCCCATGATTATATTAACAAACACTAGTACTACAATGACGATGCTTTGGACAGATAGTGATTTTTCACCTGATGAATGAATGGCTGAAAAATGTAATACATTTTTTTTAAATCATATATTGGTACAACTATACTGTTATTAGTACAACAACAATATGTAAAACAGTAATTTACGTATTCATAAATAGAGAGTTCTCATGAAAGAACCACTAGAAATATCACTTTTTATACTGCACCATTATTTGTCTGTTTGTCTTTTTATTTTTGGCCATAACGTTGTCAGTTTGTTTTCGATCTATGAGTTTGACTGTCCCTCTGATATCTTTCGTCCCTCTTTTTTATACTTAGTTCACAAATCAATAAACACTTTTTATCAATTATACTAACATTCAAAACACGTTGTGTTAATCATTCACATATAATATGTCAACTTATAACACAATTTTTAGCATAGTATATCTATAATGATTATAGAATATGCATATACGAAGATGTGATTATTAGCTAAGAATCGGGTAAACTTATCAATACTTTAAATAGACTTATTATAAAAGGCTTCCAATCAAACACTGTAATTTAATCTTAGAATATTGTGTTTTTTGTATATACATAACATATAAAAAATATTTGAATTTTTTATGACTTTCACATAAACCTCTTTGGGATGGTATGACTACCATAACACTGTTTTGTTTAAATAGGTTGGTATGAAAAAAGAAAATACTTCGTTCTATCCTTAGTGCAAACTTATAGAATTATAGGTATCTTGCTTCAACATCAATGATTCAGAAATGAACAAAAAAACAACTCAGCACAAGATGACTCATCAGACCCATAAGTATAGAAAGTAACAACAAAATACGCAAAAGCGGGATATTAAAATACCGAAATAGGTCGTATCCAACAGACAACATAAGACATAAAACATTTCCAACCGTGCTTACAAAAGAAACACCATTACTGAATACCTTAATGTTGCGTATATAAATACCGAGACACGTCGCATAGCAATGCAAATTCACACTCGACAAAACAGTCATGTGGGGGAAAGGTCACGTCGGAACTACGCCGACCAGACGACGTAGATGGTAAACCGCAATTAAGGACGTGGTAAATATGTTGTTAATTGGTTTAGATACAGACACATCATACAGATGCCAAATTCATGATGGTGTCCATGAAATTAACGGACTGTCATTTCCTCCTCATAACTCTGTTAGAGCAGTTTCTGCGTAAGGAACACGCCACTGTATATGAAGGCTACATTGTCTAAACATCACTAGTATAACGTTTCAATTGAGATATGTAAACAGCATACAACGGAGCAGAGGTTATGACACTGGTGAGCAATGAGAAATTGTTAATTGAGGAGTTGAAATCATCGCGTTTTTAGTCCAAAGTCGTCTGTCTGAATCAATATTGATTTACTATAACAATATGCAACATATATTTGTAATGCTACCACCTCCGTGTTAAACAGTTATTTTAAGTCGTTGTAATGGACATGCAGCATATTTGATTTATATTCTGACATTATTTGAAGAAAAATTAATAAGAGTAAACATGTGACAACAGCTGCTAAAATAAAACAAGTATAAAATATAGTTTGATATTAATATTTCTACTTAAATGAATAATTTACAATATTTCTACACTCAAAATATTTAAAGTTTTAATTTCTAAGATTGTAAAAGTCGAAAAATTAAGATATTTAGATTGCAGAAAGAGTTTCAGAAACTACAAGTAAGCTCGAAAAACTGTTTTTTCAATTCCAAATATTAGTATACACATTCATTTCATTTCAATATGTTGCCTTTTTGGTTCAGCTATTGACGCTATAGCTACCATAAGAAACAGAAAGAGTACACGTGTGATGTTACAAAAATTGATAGGAAATTACCTTCAAGTTTATATTGGTCAGATATTTCAAATAGACCACATATAAAGTTCAATAATGAGTTTGCCTGCAATTATTTGTTTGTTGTTTCTATCTATGATCATATATATACGCAAACATTAAAACAAATTATGAAACTAGTTATATACAACTTTTATTGGTCTCTGTTTTAAGCAGTTTTTCGGAAATCGATAAGACAAATAAAATGACATATTGGTTAAATCACATATAATTGTTTTGGATGTTGCGTTACTAGTTTTAACATTCATGCAATTTCTCTGCTAAACCATGTTTTGTATAGTAATGATAGCCTTACATGTGTTTAGATAATCTAGCTGAATAATTTGTTCATTACATAAAGTTATATGATACAGCTCAAACAGAATAACCTTAGATATGTTTTTATGTCAGAACAGTTTGTGTTTTTTTTTTCATTTCAATTCATTTTTATTTCAGAAACACATCATCAGTCAGCAAAAAACGCAATAATGCTATATTCGAATGTTACAACATTATTTTTAAAAAACTATTACAGAAAAGTCAATATTATTTCATCTGTACAAATAAAACAAGAAGATGTGGTATGATTGCCAATGATACAACTCTCCCCACGAGACCAAATGACACAGAACTTAACAACTATAGGTCACCGTACGGCCTTCAACAATGAGCAAAGCCCATACCGCACAATCAGCTATAAAAGGCCCCGAAATGACAATTCATACTAGAAAAACTAACGGCCTAATTTTTGCACAGAAAATGATCAAAAAACAAATATGCAACACATAAACAAACGACAACCACTGAATTACAGGCTCCTGACTTGAGACGGGCACATACATACAGAATCAAGTTTGTTAGATATATTAGAAAAATGAAGAAAAAAAAATCAGCCTACAATAAAAATCTCTTTAGTTGAGGTCATGTTAAAGGTCGGTTATAATTAATCTCTTATCCCTCAATGTTCTTTTACTTTCAATAATAGTTTTAAAAATTATTTTGTAAAATGATAAAATTGATTTATAGATAAAAAAATAAAATATACTTTTGTGTTCCTATAGCAACTGTCCTAGCACCAAACATCTCAAACACTTTGTTCTAGTTTATTAATAAGGAACATGAAACGTTTACGTTCAAAAGCTCAATTTTAACGAGTGTTGATGCGAAAGTGGGTTTTTGGTCAAAGGAAAATGTAAATAAATTGCCAACTCTATTTCAAAGAAATATAACCGCTACACTTTTAGTTGTTTCTATGTTAAGGTGAAAAGCTAAATTACAGGTAATGCAAGTAGCGTTGTAACCAGCAAAGAGTTTAAGCCTTTTTTCATTTGATCGTTCTTTTTCTCTTTTTCTATAGTTTCACCCTTGCCGTTCAATGAACTAAATAGATTTATGAATTATGATCTTCCATCTATTATCTTCTTTATTTGTCTTATATTAGCTTTTGACTAAAGGCGGTTTTCCCCCTAATAATTAATTCAAAGATAAAAAAACATAGGATCTCCTGTTGGTAACCTCCACGTAAACACAGTTCTATATATTAAAACATAGAATCAAAATGAATATTAAAATTTTGCCACTATATATTGTATATTAACTCACCTAAAGTCATTATAGGAGTGAGAGACGTCTTTTTGCTTTCTCCAATTTCATTTGTTGACAATACCCGAACAAGATATCGAGTTTGTGGACTCATGTTAAACAGGACATTTGACATTCTAGCCTGCATGTTATCGATTACAGGTTTTGACCGTCTCCATATTTCCTTTGCCTCTTGTTTGTATTCTATGAAAAATGTCTGTGGAAAGCCCCCGTTGTATCCAAGATACCATAATACTGTCAAATATCTGTCAAATGGAATTACTGACATATTTGTGGGAGGCTCTGGTCGATCTGTTTTGTTGAAAAATTTACATGTTAAAGAAGTTTGATCAAATATAACAGATCACCATGTTAATATCAGTTACCAATTAGTTAAGTCAAATTAATATCACTACCAAGTATGTACTGTTATTTTAGTTTCATTCATAATTGCACAATGTTATCATTTGAAGTAAGTTGTTGCACTGCATACTCATGATGAAGATTTTAAAAATTAAGTAAAATGATACAAATAACAAACTCCGAAGAAAATTCAAACCGGAACGTTCCTAATCAAATGGCAAAATAAAAACCTATATCTTTATCAAACGATTGGAAAACAGCTGTCATATTCCTGATTTGGTGCATGCATTTTCTTATGCATAAAATTGTGGATTAAACCTTGGTTTTATAGCTAGCTTAATCTCTCAATTCAATAATATTGACAACGATGTGGGAATAAAACAAACAGACATAATAGACAGGTTTTTTTTTTTATTTCTTATGGAAAATTGTTCTTTACAGGGTTGAAAAACAAAAGTTTTGATAGAAATAAATTAAAAGAAAGATCTAATTTTTAAATTATCCAGAAGTTCTTTAGAGTTCTTTAGAGTTCACATATGTGTAATACTACACCTAATTAAATGAGCATCTACAAATTCTGAATGTGAATAAATATGTCAATTGGACCTGCTTTGATATGATAACTGCACTTGATTTTATGCTTGATAACATTTTATTCGTTATGGAGATTATGTATATCGTCAAGTTTTCGGAATTCAAATGGGAACTAACTGTGTACAACTAATTGCGGGCCTGTTTCTGTATCGATTTACAATCAATCACTAAATTCAGCAAATACCCATCGAAACATAATTTGATAAAATAATTTAATAACACTGTTAGATGTTTGGATGATATATCATGCCTCATTCAGGACGACTCTTCATGCTATAGTATGTACACTAAATATATTCATCCTGCTGAACTGAATTCAAATAAAGTTCATACGAACAATGAACACTGAACATTTTTTATCTTTATATTTACATCCATTACGGCAACATTAATTATTATTACACCATAAATTTAAGATAAAATAAATCTCACTAAACCTGTTTAACCCCGCGCATTTATGGCTTGTACTACGCCATAAGCCTCTGGCCTTTTTAAGTCTTGAATTTTTTTTAAATTTTTGTTCAATTATATTTCGGAGTTAATGTGACGTCCATTTTCGTTGAAGTGGTACACATTTTGTAGAAGGGCTATCTGAGGTGCGCCTCCGGATGCAGGATTTTCTCGCTGGGTTGAGGATCCTTTGGTGACCTAAGACTGTAAATGTGCTCTTTTGTCGAGCTGTTGTCTTCTCAACACATTCCGCGTTTCGATTCTCAAATTTGTTAACTCATTCTAGAGTTAACTTTATTTAAGGGCCTGTCATAAAGTAAACATTCCGGGCTGTCGTTAGATCGAATCTGCTTACATATAAGGTATCCGGCTTTTTATAGATATCCTATCTTGAATGGTACTTGTGAGATTTTGATATCGCTTGATGTATTCTATCTTGGTATAATAAAATACTCGCCATTGACAATTTGATTATTACTATAATCATTATTATTATTTTTTTTTTTATTATTACTATCATCATTATCATTGTTAGTGCTATTATCATCACTATTCACGAGTATCTACTGCGCTCAATTCTGTACTATTTAGACAATACGCTTGCAGTCAATGAAGGTCTGTTCGGTTTATATTCAGATTGTTAAGTACTTCTTATTTACATGTACACATCAACAGCATACGGGATTGTCTGAAACACAACTGGACAGTAATGAATTGACTATAAGCAAATGTTTTGCACTGATATTAATCGCAGTGAATAAGTCTGCAAATTAAATGAAAAACAAAAACTATATGACTAAATGACTTAATATTCACACTTCCTGGATGAAGTTTCAATTTCAAAATTATTGTTAAAGACACAAATGTATTTCACTTATTTGTATAGAATTCCGTTTAGTGATATTCATGTGCGAAATTGGTAAGATACACCTATACATTTGTAAGAGTGTAAGATTTCCAAAATGAAATTGATACTTTTATAAAGGTGTCGTCAAGGCGTAAACAGATAAAAAAAAACTAAAAAGTTATTTAACTTACTTTCCGATTTTATCTTCACCGTTAGTTCATTACACCCTTTTTTGTTGCAAGCTTCTATTGTATAATCTGTAAAGTCTTCTATTTTATCAAATGTCAGTTGGAATGTTATCTTTATACAAGCCACTGTTATGTTTACACCATAGACAATGTCCTGTATTCGAATCATCTCCTGTATTTCATGTGCATTTAGATACTTAATCCGTTTTGATAGGTTTGTTTTTAATTTGCCATACTTATTGTAAACTAGCACTGTCAAGTTAATTTCTTTACCATAACGACCGATTTGAGTTTGCTTATTTGAGTTCACAAATGACGGTGGAACTAAAATAAAATTAATAGAGAAGATTACCATTTTATTATTTTAAACTGACATTTTTCCTGCTATTTGGTCGGGTTGTTGTTTTTTTGACTCCGTACCCGTTTCCATTCTCAATCTTATTTGTCAGAAATAATATGAAACAAGCTCGCCATGGCAAGCTGATATTCGAGTTGGGGAAGTCAGTATAATTAACTGAAAGGCTATTATTTGTTGCATCGGCAATTATTCTTAACTCTATGAAATGTCTTTTGAGAAAACAAAATGAACAGCAATGCTGTCAATAGAACTATGTAACGCGTAAACACGTGATGATAATTGTTCGGTTGTATGACTGAATTCGGCAGCACATCGTTTCATCCACTATTTCCTATAATTATACCATTTAATTGTTTTATGGTGTGATATTCAATAAATACATTTGATATTGGGTGATAAAGCTGTACGACTTGAATATTAACTGCAAGCATGTTATCATCAGTTTCATCACGGAAGACCTTACTGTGACGTTGAGTTGAAGAACAAACACAAGGAATTGATTCTTCGCAAACTTTATATTTCAAGTACTTCATGACAGTTTGTATTATTTTCACATGTTTCATGTAACACAATACATTTTTGTAACGGCATATATTCATTGAAAGTTTATATTGATGCATGCTGAAGACCTAGTAGGGAATAACATGAATGACATTTCAAAACAACTAACAAACATTTAAAAGAAATATAAGTTCGTTTGATTCATATAAAAATGTTTTCCATACGTTACCTTTATTGTTTATGAGAACTGATCCTTTCTGATATAAGCGTCCATTTGTACCATTTATACCGTTGGAAGTTTTGCATTTGTAAATGCCGTCAATTTCGTTTAACCGGTTGTCAGTGGTGTATTTCATTCTAAGCGTACCGTCAGGTGTCCCCTGAACATTTCGAATATGTTCTTTGAATTCAGACCAGTGTTCCCAATCCCCAAAAGTATAATTTTCAGGGTTTCCGCTCGGATTGCAGATAAGTGTTAATTTGTTTTTCGTTAGTTTGCGTCTTATTTCAACAACTGGAGAATCTGTAAAAAAAATCTTAAGTAATTGTTCAGGTAAATATCTTTATGACAGCAACTATTTAAAGTTATATTTTACCTTTCATGCTTAAAATAAAATATCAAAAAAAAAGTAGTTGCAATGATATCGAGAAATATTTTGATGCTTTGAATTTAGAAATTTAAATTTTCTGTGGAAAAGAACCAAACATAATGCAAGGTATGGTGATTTTATGTTTGGAAAAAAAGAAGTAATATACAGAACATCGTCTCAGTCGAGCTGCACTTCAAACGTTAGATATGAACCCTCACCCAACGAAAAGCTAGAAAAATTTATATACAGAGAAAACTAAAGATGTGTCTGTTAATCAGTTACGGCATTCATCGTTATCTGTGAAAATCTGCTGTTTTGTCAAAGCATTTGATAAACTAGCATGTTAAACTGATGACAGAGAATTTTATCCAAATAAAAAAAGAATGCAACGATGTTATATCACGACTTTGATTGGATGACAATATCGTAAAATTCTTCCTGTCTGTAACTAAGAAAGCCGATATTTTGAATTCCGAAATGTATTGACATATAATTTCTCCAATAAAGAGCAAAAAACTCACATTTTAAACCTAGACATCATCTGTTTACCAATTAATATTACAATCATGAAGCTTACAAGTAGCCAGAAAACTCCAGATGTTTACGTTTGAAGCCGGAAGCATACCTATGACGTCACATAGTTTAGGCGCCAACGAAGATAACATTAGTTCGCGGAATTTTCGTTTCATGAAGATTGTACGCTGAAATAATGACTAAATTCATTGATTTGTTTATTTTGCATCAGAATAGAGATACGCGTCGCCAGGTAAACTCAAACCTTTAAATACAATACAGTTATTTCTAAATTCTCTTGAATTGTTTTAAAATAACCTAGTATCAAAGTCATTTCTTCACTTACACACCCTCATGCAATGTTGACCCGTGATGAATTGTGCTATTCTTTGTTTGTCTCTTTTGATAATTTATGCCCTTATGTATTCATGAATTTATACATGCTTGAATTTCATTTTTTTTCGTATGAGCGTCTTGATGAACCTAATTTCAGGAAATTTCTCACGCACTAAATTTATAAAGTGCTTTATTGTGTTTTACACTAATGAAATTCTTAACAAAACACCTTCCATTTTAAGATAGGTAATTCGTATTTTTTTGCAATAATTTTTTTTAAGAAGTGACACGTATTTTCTTAAATAAATGTACATCTTCAAAAGACACTTTTCATTTAGAACCGTAAAATAATCTTGGAAACGTTTGGCAAACAAACGACGGCTAAACATGGCTTACTTGTCTATTATACTTGTATCTCTTTATTTAAAGCATAATAGGTGGTCTTATACAATATATATTTATCTTGCATCTGATTTTTATTTAATGAACCATGTGATTTCTTTACACCATTTGAACAATCTTGAGGCATAAGTTGACAAGGGACAGATACACCATGAAGAAAAGAAAAATGGTGAGAAAATCAACAGTTCAAAATTAACATAGCGTAAACTTATCCTTTCAACAGAAAAACCTGAAAGAAAATCTCTAGAGAGCAGATTCTTCTGACCAAGTGAAGTAGCTACACATTTTACCTGTGTTAGTATAAACCTATAAGCATGATTACATATATATACTATTACATATATTATGCTATTACATACGATTAACGTTTTTGTCGGTTTGTGATACATAAGAAAATGATAAAAATAATTTATTCTTTCGACTATCGATAACAATTACATATTTAACCATGTCTTACAGACTCTTAAAAAAGACAGCATAAAATTATATCTGTTTTGTTGTTTAAATGCAAATAACAATTTAGGCTGACAAACTCAGTATTTCAAACATGACTACAAAATGAAAAACCTCGATAAAACATAGTTTCGCTGTATATAACTAGCTCACTCACATTTATTACAAATTCGTTCAATTATTGAAAATTATTTTCTACGAACAATAGAATTGTATATACCTTATATATCCATACAAAAACAAAATATACTTATTTTGAGCCACTGTGAAAGCTTCTATATATGAATTTTGACCGTGACAAGAGGTATGGCTTGCTTTTTAAATGATTACAAAAATGACTACGGCGTTTATGTTATTCTAATAACGGTACCAACTATACTGTATTACATGCATAAGACCACAATATTTTAAAATCTCAAACAATACAAACATTGAAGAGCTAACAAAAGCAATAAAGGACCTAAACTATAGCCAAATGTGGACAAGGATTCAGAGTTTTGCATAAAGGAATTATATTCCTTTATATTACAAGATTTCCAAAAAATTCAACAGAAAATTAGATTGAAACAATATTTGTTTTTATGCAGGTATCCAAGTCCTGGCTGTCAATATTTTTTTACCAACATGCAGTTTGGTCAACAGAAATTATTTCGCTTTGTCACAAATATTATAATTTTGAATGATGTTTAAGAATTGAATTGTTTTGCGAAACACTATGCATGATTGACGATTTTGTTTCTGTTCGATAAAGAAGTTTATATTGCACATGTTTCATATGTTTTATGGAATCATTTTATCAGACGAGGGCTACAAAATACCATGTTTTCTTAATGTTTGCTGAAAATACGAACGGTCATTGTTAAAATTTGCATTTGAGTTGACGGTAAATACACAGAATTCCATTTCTGAAGACCTTGCAAAACTAAAATTACTGACAATAAGTTATCGTCCTTTGTAATTGATTTTCGTTGTCCACGAATATAGTCCCTAGTGTGGACAGTGAGTTACTAGCACATTTTTTTTATATCCCTTCCAGTTGAGTAGGTCCGGAAAGGTCCGATTTTGGCCTCAAAATTCAGGTTCATCTGATGAAAGATTTTGGACACTTTTTAAACACTTAAGTGTCTACTTCAGTCGATTCAATTAGTTAATGTGAGAAAGATTTGAACTGATTAAGTCATTAGAGACGGTCAAATCCAAGCATAAATATGAAAAATCTATCAAATATGTTATAATATATCACTTTTCAGACAGTTTTTGTCAAAAATGAAAGTGGCCGCATCCGTGTTCAGCCTCAACCTTTATATATGTTATGTATTATCTTCAAATACAACTTACATTTAGATATTAAGAATGAACACAAATGCGGCCACTTCCATATTTTGGGACCAAAAAGGGGTCGTAGTGGACCTACTCCTTTATTTTGTCATGTTTGATGCCTCAAAAAGCGAGTAGGGGGATAAAATTACACTGTAAAAAAATTGGGTCATGAATTTAAAAGTGAAGAAGTGATTTTGGTCCAGCTGAAAAAGGTTAAAAATTAGCACTCCGATAGCTGTCAAAAGATTTCAAAACCCCCTTAACATAAAATTGTCCATATTTTGAGTTAGAGCAGATGAAGTTTTCTATAATTTTGATATAATTTGTCCCAAAAGTAGTACAATACACTGTAAAAATATTATTGAAAAAGCGCAGGTGTGATTTTTTTAATTTACATTTATTGTCTAAAAGAAATGCACTACGAAATAACTGTGGTCTCGGACCATAGAGGCTTCATGTTTTTTCTTTTCTGCATAGTGTGTGCTAGTTTAAGTATTCAATTTGACAAAATAACGTTAAACAATCGAAAAAAGATACCTTTATTAATTATTTCAATACTAGTATGTATAATGCAGATTGCAACATGAAGGAAATACAACTTTTATTTATATTACTAACCAGATTTTGATTTAAAAGTTGTTAAATTCTAATAGGAGTTGAACGAAAAAAAGGGTCTCTATCTTTTACTTAAAGGTTTTTAATAATAATTTATATTTCCATTCACCAAAAATGAAATTCTTCGCAACAGGTTACCGTTAACAAATGTCTTTTTTTTTAACTAAACTGCAAATGCTTCATATTTTATCAATTTTTGCATTAAATGTCCTCGCTTGCCAACAATTTTGTATCCGAAAACTTCACCTGAAAATGTATACTTCCAATATAGATTTGGGTTTGGTTATCTATATCATTGTTGTACGTATTTAGGATTAAGAATTGAGGCATTGTATTATAATTAAAACCCAACAATACATATTGCTCTGTGATAATGTGAATTGTGGTTTAAATTTAGAGAAATTTTGAAAAAGACCCTCGTGCAAATTTGGGGAAGACTAGCTTGATCTCTTTATAACAGACACCAAACTATTCAAACTATGAAAATGTATATTCTCGATTCGTTTCAAAACAATACTTTAAAAAGTATTCATTTTAACTTTAATAACTAAACAATTAACTTACACTGAATATTCAAACGTACTTCACATGATAATGGATTCACTAGTAATGAACTGTAGGCAGAACAAGTAAATAATTGCATGTTGTCCAGTTTTGTTGGAATGAAGGAATATGTGATACGATCACTGCCCTTATTCGTAATATTTGATCCATTTATACTCAAAACGAGTGTTTCTACAGGTGGTCTTCCACTTTTGACAACACAGACGATCGTTAGAATGTTTCCTTCGACTCCACGAACTACTTTCGTTCCCTTTATCATTATTGATCCTTGTACTATTAAGTTAGAAGGTAAACCTAATGAATATAGAATGAATTATATTTAAAATAAAACAGCTAAATGTAATAAATGACGACATGCTTGTATATAATTCTTTAAATCCATTACAATTGATCCATGATGAATAGTTGGCTCATTGGCAATCATACCACATCTCTTTTTTTTTTTAATAAACCTAAATAAGGAAAGGTTCCAACCTACATGTACTTAGAATCAAAATGCGGACTTAAATCAGTATCCGAATTGATCACTTTGGCTTGATTGTCACGTTTTTATTTTTATTTCTCTGTCGCCACATTAGGGAAACTTATAACGGATTCAAGTGTGGGTAGTGATCCACCTAAATGTTTCACAAAGAAAAAAAAGACAACAACAAAAAAATAACGCATTGGTGGAAATCTATGTAAGTCATGTATTGGATTTTTCTACACAGAAAGAACTATGGTAAGTATGAGTAGCAATACTCTGAAGATCTATTATGATTCGGTAAAAATCACCAAATTTGTGTTGCGTTTTTATAATTCGTCAATATAATACAAGTCATCTTATGTAATTATTTTGCCCTTTCTTATGACGGTTTGTCATACTTTACTCTCTACTTTTAAATGAACTCCTTCATGAAAATTCGATGTTGTTACTCTTTCTATATCCCTTTTGGTAATAAAAATAGAAAAACAAACAAAGGATATGAGAGTATCCCTCTATGATACAGCATCAGAACATGATCAGCAAAAACAATGGAAAGGAACGCCGCTTTTATTGCTGTTCTTCATATCAAATCACAGTTAGGCCTTCAACACGGAGCAAAAAAGTTCACCTTAGTAGAAGTTTAAGATTGCTAAAGGGCTGGTTGAGCGGAATTCTTTGCAAAATGATTTGAATAGACTTTTTGAAGATATATCACCACCAAATCGAGCCCGATCATCAAGAACATAATTACTGGAAAGGAGTACACATTTGAAACAAATCATTCCTACGCATAGGTGTTCATATACAGCTATGTCGAATATGTTTTAGTTACAAAAGTATCAAACGAAAGGTGGAGGACACTGGTGATCCTTGTTCATGTTGTTGAAAACATATTTACTGATACTCTTGAATAATTCAAAAATGTATGAATAATTTTTTTAATAAAGGTCATATATTAATAATTCACCTGTATATCAACATGTACATGGGGTATAAATTTCGTAACTTATTCGGAAATTCATGAATTTGCAGCTGCCACCCAGACTTTATAATACGTCTGAGCAGAAAGTTGGTTAACTAGGGTTATGTCAACGAACATCTCTTCCTTCTTCCTAAAAAGATCATCGGAGGATACCAAGACCTTGTTGAAAAATATTCCGTATCAACTTCAAAATAATACATGATGGTCTTGAAGTATAGATTATATGTACGGACGTTGTTTATCATAATAAGGACGTGTCACAGTGCTCTTGTATTTGTCATTGTAAATTAATAACCTTTACTCTTTTGTCCATTTTTGGTAATATCCTTATGACGTGGCTTGGAACTTATGCATCCCGCCAATGTGCTGTTGTACTTTGGTTTTTTTTTTGTATTCTTGTCTTTCATGTTTGCTTATGTGCTTTGTCTATATTGTGTTTCTTTGTTGACATATCAGTTGTTTTTACAATGATTAAGATTATAACACAATGTTGATGCTGTACCCCTATTTTTGACATTTTTTTACCTATTATGTCTGTTTGTTTTGTTCACACATTGTTTCCAATATAATGAAATTATATGTGACTGTCATTCAATTAACAGATTTAACTAGATATAAATACAGGTTAAATCAACCATGTTCTACATCAGAAAATGCATGTACCAAGTCAGCAATATTACTTTCCATTTGTTTGATGTGTTTGAAAAATTGGAAAGTCCCTTTGAGTACGTTTTCGTTTTATTTTACTTCTTTTTTTTCTTCGTTTTCCTGACTTGGTACAGGTATATCCGTATTTAGAATATGGTAGATTAAACCTGGCTTTAAAGCTAGCAAATCTCTCAGTTGTATGACAGTTGCATAGAACCCCATTATATTGACAAAAAAGTGTGAACAAAATAAACAAACATAATAGGTGAACATTTTAAAAATTAGTATACACCAGTCAACATTGTGTTATAATCTTAATCACTATAAACCAAACAACAATGTCAACACAGAATTTCTAACTGGCATATAGACACTCTATAGACAAAACACACAAGCAAAAATGAAAGACATGAACACAAAGAATGACAATCAAGTGATGTATAAATACATACCTATAGTCTACTTTATTATAACCTTTAATTCAAAACACTTGTATGAAATACGCAGATGTGGTTTAATTGACAATTAGACAACTATGCAGCAGAGTAAAAATGAAATTGGTGTACGATATCATGGACAACCGAACGGCCATCAAAGAGAAAAAAAAATCATATATTAAGCAGGTACAAAATGCAGCCGTATGAAAAAGATAAAACAATTCCAACGAGAAAAATTAACGGCTTTTCTAGGAACAAAACAGTTTAAGAAAAAAAAACAAAATTAACAGATATGAACCAACTACAACCACTACACTACGAATTCCTGACTTAGAACAGATACATAAAGAATGTGGCGGGGCTTAACATGTGTGTGAGCACTAAAATTTCCGCATAACATGAGACAGTAATAGTACAACATGAGAACACACTGTAGAAATAAGTAGCAATGGATCAAAAGATTGGTAATTATTAGAAGAGAGTAAGGTAAATTATTACTATTTTAAAAAAACATCAGGTTAAAATGATAACGGAAATAGAATTTAAATAAAATCTGATCAATGTTTTCCCCCTGAAAATATGGCGTTATTTGGTACAAGGTAATCTAGTAGTCGTCTTGTTAAATTGCTCAATAAAGGCGTTGCGTATATTATATTTTGACAGAGTATCAAAAAAACAAATATCAAGAAACATAACTTCTTAGCATTTTAAGATCCATTTTATACATACACATTTGAAGCTTCTAACATTTCGCCGTATGTATTTATCACCTGACCTCCAAAGTTTTACTCTGTTTTTCTAAAATAAAATTACGTAGTCTACATCAGGGGTTCCATTGTATCCTGTCCAGTAAACCTAGGACGATGTGGTGATCCGAAGCAAATTATTCATCGAGTGGCTATAACTCATATATTGACACATTTGCTGTGTCAATTTATATATATATATATCTGGTATAGTTTTTACAAAAGCAAAAAATTGATAAAAAAAAAGTTGGCAACAATGTATGTATGAGTAACTATTCAACTTATTTTGGCTGTTTCGTTGTTTTTTTTAAGTCATAAATTAAAACTCATAACAATACAAAAACAGGTTCGCAATAAGTGATGCACAGTTAGTCCCCACTGTAATTCCGATAACTTGACAATATACGGAATCTCCAAAGCAAACAAAAATGTTATCAAGTAAAAATTCAAGGTCATTTATAGTATCAAAGCATGTTCAATTGACATAGCTCTATAGTTTGTTGCTACTAAAAAATGACCTGAAAGAGTCTTGAAGTATAGATTCTAGGTACTGACGTTGTTTATCATAATAAGTACGTGTCACAGTGCTCTTGTATTTGTCATTGTAAATTAATAACTCTTACTGTTTTGTCCATTTTTGGTAATATCCTTATGACGTGGCTTGGTACGTATGCATCCTGCCAACGTGCTGTTGTACTTTGGTTTTTTTTTGTATTCTTGTCTTTCATGTTTGCTTATGTACTTTGTCTATTTTGTGTTTCTTTGTTGACATATCGGTTGTTTTTATAATGATTAAGATTATAAGACAATGTTGATGCTGTACCCCTATTTTTGACATTTTTTTACCTATTATGTCTGTTTGTTTTGTTCACACATTGTTCCAATATAATGAAATTATAAGTGACTGCCATGCAATTAACAGATTTAGCTAGATATAAATCCAGGTTAAATCAACCATGTTCTACATCAGAAAATGCCTGTACCAAATCAGCAATATGACAGTTACTTTCCATTCGTTTGATGTGTTTGAAAAATTGGAAAGTCCCTTTGAGTTCGTTTTTGTTTGATTTAACTTTTCTTTCTTCGTTTTCCTGACTTGGTACAGGTATATCCGTATTTAGAATATGATAGATTGCACCTGACTTTAAAACTAGCTAAATCTCTCAGCTGTATGACAGTTGCATAGAACTCTATTATATTGACAAAAAAGTGTGAACAAAACGAACAAACATAAAGGTAAAAATTTTAAAATTTAGTATACACAAGTCAACATTATGTTATAATCTTAATCACTATAAAACAAACAACAATATCAACACAGAATTACTAACTGGCATATAGACACTCTATAGACAAAACACACAAGCAAAAATGAAAGACATGAACACAAAGAATGACCATATTACAATTACACAATCACGTGATGTATAAACACATACCTATAATCTACTTTATTATAACATTTATTTTAAAAAACTTGTATGAAATACGGAGATGTGGTTTAATTGTCAATTAGACAACTATGCAGCAGAGTAAAAATGAGATTGGTGTACGATATCATGGACAACCTAACGGCCATCAAAGAGAAAAAAAAATCATATATTAAGCAGGTACAAAATGCAGCCGTATGAAAAAAGTAAAACAATTCCAACGAGAAAAATTGATGGCTTTTCTAAGAACAAAACAGTTTAAGAAAAAAATAGAATTAACAGACATGAACCAACTACAACCACTACACTACGGGTTCCTGACTTAGAACAGATACATAAAGAATGTGTCGGGGCTTAACATGTGTGTGAGCACTAAAATTTCCGCATAACATGAGACAGTAATAGTACAACATGAGAACACACTGTAGAAATAAGTAGCAATGGATCAAAAGATTGGTAATTATTAGAAGAGAGTAAGGTAAATTATTACTATTTAAAAAAACATCAGGTTAAAATGATAACGGAAATAGAATTTAAATAAAATCTGATCAATGTTTTCCCCCTGAAAATATGGCGTTATTTGGTACAAGTTAATCTAGTAGTCGACTTGTTAAATTGATCAATAAAGGCGTTGCGTATATTATATTTTGACAGAGTATCTGTATACTTCAAATGTACTTTATTTCAATTGTACAATTTTAATTTGTATGCAGAATTACTTACGTTGTAATTGCAAATTGAAAACTTTTTGATGTAAAGCACCAGCTTCCCAAACATTGCATTTGTATGTTCCTACATCTAAAGCGGTGAATTTTGTTATTCTAAGGTTGTATTTACCATTTTCCGTATCAATGTTGATAAAACTGCGAAAAACTTCCCGATCTGGTGTTTGCCATGAACATTGAATGTGATGAAAACAATCACATGTAAGTTCAATGTTTCCATTCATGCCAACATAAACATTTGTAATATTTAAACCATGCCCTGAAATAGAAGTAATGGTCCTTTGCAAATGATATAAGACGATATTGATAAGTTTAACGTCGTTATATTCTTAAGGGAGTCGTCTAGAAAATTCATTCACATGGTAGATTTGTATTACCTTCTTCTTCCAGTTATAGTTGATATGTCTTTACATATGAACAGTATTTTCTGTTTGTGGCTTTTTGCAATAATTTTTTTTAAATAATCAAGTTTTGAATAGAAGACGGAAAGTAAAAGTTAAGATATTGCTCAATTATAAAGTTATTTTCACACTATTTCAAAATTTGCAACGTGAAGTGCTAAATGTATGCACTTTTAAAATATAATAGTTTTAGTTGCAATGTCACGTTGTCACGTGTTTTACAGCAAATACATGACAGCTTCACTAATTTTGTAATTAAAATATTATTGTAACGTCATTCTATTGTTATACCCGTTCTTTATTTCAGTGATTGGACTATCATTTACCTGTTAGAAACCATTATATTAACGTTAACTGCCTAATATATTTAAGAATAACTCTCTCCTTTGATTATAGTCTAATCACTGAAAATAATGCATCTATTCACACAATTTCGTGTCTCCTGTCAAAATAAATTTACAACGAAAGAACAAATGAAGGCAGTTTGACAAACACATTTTTATTATTAAGATAACCTTCCAAAACATTTTTTTTTGTCGACAGTTTCATACAAAATCTTAGAATTTCAAAGTAAGTTTCACATTTCTAGCATCAATGCTTATTTCACGGCCATTTTTATATTTCGGCTCGTCTTCCTTAGCATCAACGTTGACAATGCTCGTTGTAAGTGTCTTGATATGTATACGTAACTTTGGCGTTAACATCGCTATCCACCATTTTTAGCTGCTCTTCGCATGTCCTCTTGTACGCACTCACTGCCGATGAACGACGACCAGTTTTTTTCTGCGATTAGTTGCTCATCTACACCTACTACGTATAACCTTGCTGCTGCCGCCGTCGCGCGTAGAAAATGATTTGTACAGTTTCTAGAGATTTCATCACCTTTGCACAATTCCAACACCGTAGTTTATAGCTGAAGAACCCTTATTGGACAATCGTCGTACTATTCATCTCTTGTTGGATAAGTTTTAGATCTCAGGTAAAAAATATTCTGTTCGCCAGTTGAAAAAAAATCATGATACCTTATAGTGGTAAATTTTGAAGGAAACAATAATAATTTGATTGAAAGCGTCGGAAAACTTAAAAAAAAACCCACTCTGACTGAAGACAAAAAACATAACTCCCCCCCCCCCCCCCCCCCCCCCCTTAGAGTTGAATGGTTGCTCCCTAAAACCAGTATAATGCGTCATTCAAATATGGATGATCCGCAATCAGACCATTCGTTAATGGTTGTTCAACTTGAAATCATAATAACAAAAAAGATGAATTGTGTCGTCAAATATTATTAATAGTGCTAGATTGGTTTTAGATTTTATTGCAGGAAACAAAACAAATGTATTTTGCATCGAATATATTTTAAAAATTTCTATGGTAAACGTGCTCTTCAAAAAGGCACCCAACCAATTATTGAAACAATTTAAGAGTTTCAAATACGGTTGTTTACTTATTTACCATCATCCACTTGCTAGTCAACCGAAATGGGGACCAAACCAAACAACAAAGAAAAGAGAAAATTGTTATGAATACATATGAGCTTAAGGATGTACTTAAATTAAAAAATCTAGAATTTAAAATTGATACCTTAAGTCAAAAGAGCATTGTTTAAGGAACAAAATAAGCCAAACATATTGATAGGTTAAAGACCGTAAATCCCCAGTTTTAAATAACGGCAGGGAAAGGCTGACTCGGACTTTTACCTTATATTTACATTGGTATTATTTGGTTCTCAAATCGAAAGAAAGAAATATACAGTCTTAAAATTTGGTAAATGACCTTTTATGAGCTATTGAAGTCTTATTTGAAAAGAAGAAAAGTAGCATATTTACATGACGATATCGGTATATTGGTATTAAGTCAAATCTCCTGAATTTGTGATATTATTATAATTACTACATTGACAAAATGTAAACAATATGTCAAAATGTTTAGGCTTTAAATAAATATCTATTTGGGTAAGTTAATGAAAGCACACGAGGTGTATTGTTTCTTATACTGTTAGAGGTTTATAATGTTTAACAACCATATCATATCAATGTGTAAACACGTTAATTATGAGCTATGAGAATCAAGTAGTTCGCATTTTTCCAAGTAGGTTTGAAGAAATTTCAAACAAATATATTTCACTGTGGGTTAGCATTCATTAGTTGTCACTATCCTATAGATTTACAACTGTTGGTTATATTGATAATTCATAATCGTCACTGAAGGTGGAGCACGAATTCTGTATTAATTAATTATTTTCTTGTGCCAATTGTATGTAAGAGTTACATTCCTTTGAACTATGTTCGATCCAATAAGTCAATATGTTGATTGTCTACCTTGAACAGGATTATAATTTCATCTTTACATATAGTTATTCTTTTGAATTTAAAATCGTTACAAAATCTATAAATGTACTAGATCTTTGTATTTTTATTGGTTTATTAAAGACATTTAAGTATATGTATAATTTCATTTATTTGTTATGAAATGTTCAAAATTAATATATACCAACATAAAGAATTATTTTATTATCTAATAAATATTACTTTTAAATATTCCGGCCGTGCCATACCGTCAACGATGTGCAAGGTCAAATCTACCCTCATCATCATTTAGTTGCCTAGTATGATGATATAAATTACTCTGAAAAGATAGAGCATCTTCTTCCAAGTAATCTTGAAATTGCTCTCTCTTTAAAGCCGTATTCTGGTAATAATTCAAAACAAAGTACCCCTACTTTTAATTTGAGGTACAATATGCCTGTGAATAACACATGGTTGATTCTGCTGTCAAGAATACAATGTATCAAGTTGTGGTACGCATCATATAATCTCCAACAGCATTCATCTTGCTACTTTTAAAGGTTTTTGTTGCTTAAATATGGTGAATACAATTATGTCAGAACTCAAATGAAGCAGACAGGCTGTCTTAATATAGCTGCATTACTCGATCCCTAAAAACAAATACATAAAAGAAGTGTAATACCCCCGTACACAAACACACATACGCAAAAACGGAACACCTAGCCACCACTTTATTCCAGAAACTTCAAACTTATGCCGAATGCTTTAGTGAAAATTATAATCAGAACCTACACAAAACATTTTTAACTTTTTTGAAAAAGATGAAGTATGAAAACAGAATTATATTATCTCCCCATTATGATAGAATGTTGGGAAAATTGAACATTAATCACAGAGACGGGCTAGCAAACAATTTTTAATTTAAGCTTAATTACCGTTAAAAAATTTCCACTAAAAACAAAAACGAATGTTACTTATTCAAATATAAGGACTTTGTTAGCTAAATCTACTAATTTTATAAGTTATTATAACAATAGATAAACATGCTAAAAAAATGAACATCTTACCGCAGGTTAAAGGGATCAATCATGTTTTCGATTCGCACATTGTTCTTGGTGATCGTTCAAAAGCAGATGTATTTGAATCTGACAGATTTAATCATATGTGTGTTTAATCAGTTTTAGACGGTTTGCAATTGTGTTGTATAATTAAGGTCAAAAAGAAAACCCGTTTCTGCATTGAATTGATTGAAAAAAGGGGGTATTGATAAATGTATCTTACTATAAAACACAATAATATGTGTAACGTTTGTTTTTTTGAAATGTATCTAATAACAATTTCAAACATATCACTTAGTTTTGATCTCAAAAGTCAAATTGATTGAATACAATAATTATACATTACACACACAAACAAGGATGTGCACACTTACAATGCTTTGTTTTGTTTGTGTCATTTGCCAAGTGAAATCGAGGGACAAAACAGTTCGGTATACACAGAAGAAAGAAATACACAAAATTAACTAATAAAAAGAGCTACACAAAACTTGAAGAACACAAAACTTGAAGGAAAACCGTGTGTGTGTGTGTTTTTTTTCTTTTTAGACTTATAAAAGGGGTTATAAATTCTAAGAAATGAGGATTCAGAAAATAAGAAGACTACATTTTAAGATATATTCAAAACTTGCCATTATTAGCTCCCATTACTAATTCATCATTGGTGTCCGCACTGGGTTTATCTGAATATAGATCCAATTTTGATTCAAAGTTAAAACAATATCATCACTATCTTCAGCGTCACTTTCTTCTTGTCGGAAAGTGTTCTGCGTTAAGAAAATACTGTCACGGTCGTCTATATTCATTTCCTAACATTAATTGCATTAGAAAGTATTCACGGAAATATATATGTAATCCTAGAACACGCACAAATCGTGATACACATGCACTGTATATTCATGTACCTAACCATGTAGTTAAACTGTAACTGTACTTCATTATTGTTTTCCATTGTTTAAGGTTGAGCTACTGATAAAGGGGCCAACATGTAGGATAATATTGATAAGGTTTATGCAAAACTATCTATAAATATCTTAACAAACCCTTTGTTTGTATGCTTTGTTCATCGACTTTGAAAAAGTTAAACAATGTTTTGAGTAAGATATAAGCCTCTTACAGTCCATTCTGTAAAATATTGTACAGAATCGACTGTTATCGGCTTGTATCCCGTACCGAATGACAATGCATTATGTAGAGCATAGCCGTCGTCCGAAATATTATCACAGGGAGTGGGTTTTATGGATATCTTTACAAAACCTATTTTTTCGATGCATGTGAATCATGCTAATAAGCCACAATATTTTAACTAACGCACTTTTTGTCTTAAAATCCCCTCTAAAGAATAAAAGCAACAGTAGTATACCGCAATTCGAAATTCATAAATCGATTGAGAAAAAAAAACAAATCCGGGTTACAAACTAAAACTAAGAGAAACACATCAAATATAGGAGGAGAACAACGACAAAAAAGAAACACAACACTAAAATGCAACACACACAGAAACGAACTATAATATAACAATGGCCATTTTCCTGACTTGGTACAGGACATTTTAAGAAAAATCGGTGGGTTGAACCTGGTTTTGTGGCTAGCCAAACCTCCCGCTTTTATGGCAATGTTAAATATAACATTAAAATGACAAGGTAACATGACAGGACTACAATACGAATACATGGGAGAATATACAGGACAGAGACACACATAAATAATAGCTATCAAAAGGTACCAGGCTTATAATTTAATACGCCAGACGCGCGTTTCGTCTACATAAGACCCATCAATGACGCTCAGATAAAAAAAGTTCGAAAGCCAAAACAAGTACAAAGTTGAAGAGCATTGAGGACCAAAAGTTCCAAAAAGTTGTGCCAGATACGGCTAAGGTTATATGCCTGGGATAAGAAAATCCTTAGTATTTAGAATAATTCATACTTGAGGCTGTTTTTATTCAACTCTAGTGCACATTTAGGGGTTCATGATATTTACATGCACATCTCTTGACCAAACATGACTTACATGTTAGCATGTCAAGGGCTAGAAGAGCTTCTCATATATATATATATATATTGATATACTTAGCTGTTAATAAGTCTAATTGATATTTTTAGAATTCCCGATAGTTAAATCAATGATTGGTATGTAAAAATTTGAATTGCTCAAATTGTAAAGGATTTACTATCCTTGGGATAGATAACCTTAGCTGTTTTTTTTTATAAAATCTTTGAGATTGATTTTATGGAGTGTATTCATGTCTGATGTGCTTTGTTGTTGCAAAGGTTGTTAAGATATCTGGATTGAAACCGTCTTACCACTTTGATATGCTTATTTGAAATTTATCACAAAAATTGAAAAATGAAAAACATAACTTTCTTTAATTAGTTCAAGTACTTATGAATTTATACAATGTCAAGATACTGTACACATTACCTGAGGAACATATTTCTAATATCACTAACAGCTTCAAAATACAGCTACAAATAGTCATGATGTCTGTAATGAAAAAGTATATGACAGTAAAAATAAAGGTTATATGGTATTATCTGGAATATCGCAATGCAAAAGATGTTGCATTGATTCAGTAAACACTTTAATTATGAAGACTAATAGATTTACTTAAAACATGCATATACATCCTTTTTCCAAACACTTGAATTAAATTGTTTTTTTTTTTTCTTCAGATGTCTGATTTTAATGTTGTGAGTTTTAGACTACAGTTAAATAATTACATGAAGCAATTACAAATATGATTTGAAAAAATAAATGCCTTATAAGAATATGACAACGAAATGAGTCACATGATATAAATACCTGATGATATGATGTTAGCTTTTTCTTCCTTGTGTGTCATTGCGGAGTATACATATACAGTCCATACAAATGTTTCCGTATTTACAATATGTTTCCGTATTTACAATATGTTTCCGTATTTACAATTGTTACAATGGCATCATATTTGTTAATTATTCATTTCTGAAAATAATTGCAGTCGTGAATAAACTGTCATTATTTATTGTCTATGAAGTGTTTTGTGCAAGTACGTGATTACATTTACATGTATCACAAAATAGATGGATGACCAGGAAGAAGCAATAATGTTAGATATAATTTTAACACCAAATACATCATAGTAAATATCTCTATATATCAGTTTCGAAATTAGTTGTAGTTTTTATGTGAATTTTTGGTCAATACAGAATAAATCGACTTTCAATTGTTCAGGATAGTAATTAATATCAAAATAAAATGCGATTCCAATAAAGTTGTATTTGTTATATAAAATGGTTGGCTACATGATTTTGCATTTTTAATTTCCATAAACTTCAGTCCTTTTTGTTATTATACTATCCATTTATGAACCACATTGAAGGCATACTAAAAATAGTGAAAAAGAATAAATGAGCATCTTAAATTTGTTAGGGTCTTACAATTTCAAACCAATGACATATAATCCTAGTAACTACATAAAAATGTAGTTAAATCGATTAGAACCTCATAATAATTTTGTCTGACCATTGTAAAATCAAAGTACATACAATTCCTTCACAAAACAAACATTATCAAAAAGAAAAGTAACACAAATTCCAAACTACGAGGAAAATTCAAAACGGACAGTCCGTAATGAAATCGTATAATCAAAAGCACAAACATATTACACGAATGGATAACGACTGTCATATTCCTGACTTGGTACAGGCATTTTCTTATGTAGAAAAAGGTGGTTTAAACCTGATTTTATAGCTAGATAAACCTCTCACTTGTATGACTTCGCATAAAATTCCATTATATTGACAACGATTTATGAAGAAAATAAACAGATATAATAGGTAAAAATGTCAAACTTGGGGCACAGCAGTCAACACTATGTTATAGTCTTAATCACTACAAAAAAACAAGCAAACATATCAACAAAGACAAACAAAAAAGATCTAAATCCGAAAAAAAACCTTTTCCTATTGAGGAACGACACTGCGACACATTATAGCTTTCAACAATTTATGATCTGTTAAGTGTCGATCTCAGTCGTACTCTGTTGAAGCAGTTTTTGTGAAAGAAGCACACAGATGTTAACAACGTCCGTAGAGTGTGAACATGCACAAGTGTATTTATTGAGTTATGCAAACGCCATACAATGGAGCATAGGGTAAATAACTGTTGCGAAAGTTGAAATATTCCGGTTTTAAATAAAGAATAGCGACCGACGCTTGACATTTATAAAAAATAATTTTCTTTTTATCCTCGGTAGCCAGTGCTACAGTATTGCTATAATTTATATCCTTCTTGTTTCTAAAATCAAACCGCTATTGATACAAAAACAATGATTACGAAACTAAACTCCAATTGCCAGAAGCCCTTCAATAAAATTGCTATTTTAAGCTCCTTCCGTCATTTAGCTTGCACGGTTTTTTTTTACGTACCTATACCATTGGGCTTTCTGTTTGTTGGTATATCCAGGAAAAATACTGACGACCTATGGAAGTATTTCTATAACAAACACGCGAAGAATTATAACACTGCTTGTTAACTTTTAATCACCAAAGGTATCATCCGCAGAGTAACAAGTATTTCGGAATGGACATAATTGGTGACATACATTTGACATTTTTGTTTAAGGGCCAGCTGAAATCCGCCTCCGGAAGCGGGATTTTCTCACTGTGTTGAAGACTTTTTGGTGGCCTCCGGCTGTTTGTTTTTTTACTCTTTGGTAGGGTTGTTGTCTCTTTGGCACATTCCCCATATCCATTCTCAATTTTATTTCTTCAGATTTTCCATTTAAAAAATTAAGAAATTATGTAAAACTAAAGGTTCAAACTACTTTTGTCAAAGTTGACCTATGGTGAGTTTGGATAAGCAGTGTATGTCCTATTGGTAATGCAGCTCTAAACATTTCTACGATTGTGTACATACCTGGCTTTACATATGTTTAACTCTGTTAGGATGTTAGTTTCCGGTGTTATTATCAGCTCAGTAGTCAGTACTTCGTTATTGACATGATTTGTAACATATATATTTGTTTTCATATTCGTCGTTAAGAAATAAAAAAAACAAATATCATAACTTCTTAGCATTTTAAGATCCATTTTATACATACACATTTGAAACTCCTAATATTTCACCGTATGTACTTATCACCTGACCTCCAAAGTTTTACTTTGTTTTTCTAACATTTAATTACGTAGTCTACATCAGGGGTTTCATTGTATCCTGTCCAGTAAACATAGGACGATGTGGTGATCAGAAACAAATTATTCATTGAATGTCTTTAACTCATATATTGAGACATTCTCGTCTAGGTGACAACATTTGCAGTGCCAATTTAAGTATATATATATATATCTGGTATAGTTTTTACAAAAGCAAAAAATCGACAAAAAAAAATGTTGGCAACAATTTATGTATGAGTAACTATTCAACTTATTTTGGCTGTTTCCTTGTTTTTTAAGTCTAACTGATCGGTTTCGTTATCAATTTTATTTCATCTACAACCTTCCTTGCAAAAGGCGCTAAAAAATGTTAAAATCAGCCATGCGAATTATTTGAAGATTTAGCTTACCTTTGTGTTGTTTAGATATTTGAATCGTTCAACTTGTGCATAGACCGTTTTTCCCCCGTCTTAGAGTTATTCAAATGTATTTTAAACGTATCAATAGCATGAAACTAGCACTACACTAGGCAGCAGTTATACGACATTTCAATTTCGACCGGACAAAGGCTGCGTATTTATACATCCGTATAGGTAAACGTGGAAGCTGTTGCAAGGCTAATTTTCTGTCCTTATATATAAGTTAAATGTTTTGTGTTCTCGTCATAAAATTACATGAAATATTCACCACTGGACGTAAAGCAAACAACAAACAATCAACGTCATACATTATTCAAAATACACAGTACACGAAGACAATGCTATATATAAAATTCCCATTTAAATCATTCAATAAGAAGTGCAAATTAAGAATTGTTTTATCTTATTTTTTATTTTATTACTATATAACTGAACATTTATAATTCAAATATTTCTTTACTACGGTTCTTATCTACTGATATACGATATGCCATTATACAACTAAGAGGGGTAAACAGATTTTTACCAGATGTATATGTTTTATTCAGACTTGGAATGACGGATGACATAAATACAAGTGTTCAAATTCATATAATACATTGTATTTCAATCTACGAATAATGATCAACCTTGTGAAAATATATCATCTATACACGTTTAAATCAAACCTACATGACGTGATGCTATGTGTTTTACATTTAGGCTATCTTATACGATGTAAGTCCTTGAAAAAAATTAAATCACAAAAATACTGAACTCCGAGAAAAATTAAAAAAGGAAAGTCCATAGTCAACTGTCATATTCCTGACTTGCTACAGCCATTTTCATATGTAGAAAATGGGGATTAAACCTGGTTGTAAACCTAGCTAAACCACTCACTTGAATAACAGTCGCATCAAATTCCATTATATAGACAACGATGTGTGAACAAAACAAACAGACATAATAGGTAAACATGTCAAAAATAGATATACAGCAGTCAACATTGTGTTATAATCTTAATCACTATAAAAACAAAACAAATATGTAAAAAAGAAGCACAAAAAGGCATATAGACCAAACGTAATAGCAAAGAAAGAACAATAATACACAAATATACCATAGTACAATAACACAATGAAGGGATATATAAGAACAGAGCCACGTCATATATGTATCAAAGAAACATAAAAAGGCATATAGCTAAAGCACATTAGCAAACATAAAAGACAAAAATACGAAAATGATCACATAACAATAACACAATGACGGGATGTACGTCAAATGGATATCAATAAAATCAGACTAAACAGTAAAAGTAATAATCATAAAGACAAATAAAAGAATAGTATAACGTTACCAAGATGATAAACAACGTCAGTACCCAAAATCTATACTTCAAGATCATCGTGTATTATTTGTGAAGTTGATACGGAATATTTATTAACAAGGTCTTGGTACATTTGTATCTTGTGTAGCCATAGTTTAGAACAAAACGAAAACATTATAAACTATTTGAAATGAACAGACAACACTCAAAGGTTTGCATTAGCATGTAACGAAGTGTAGGAAAAATACAGAATAAAAACTAAAATCAACGTTTACCAGAATATTGTTAAGGACCTTGTGTAGTTTGGTCTTTTCGATTAAAAGTTGTGAAACAAGCTGTTTAAAAATCTAAGTGTTTTAAGTTTACTGTCTAGTTGCATATGGTCTGAGAGTTTCTTGAGCAAACAATGATAATAATACCAGAATATTCATACTTATCGATTTGGTAGGTCATGCATGTAGAAAGCTAGATATTTGCCATGTGTCTAAAGGTCATCAGTGATTATATTTACAAGTTCTGTAAGTTGAGGTTGTCTTTTGAGGCGAGTATAACATATACCAATAGTCGTTATTATAGTTACCTGATGGTAATGCACTGACGATATCACGCCCGTGTTTATATAAGTACACAGTCTTGGACCGTATGCTAAAGTGAAATGTATTTCAAAGTGTTATCAAAAAATGTAAATGCTTTTTATATCAGTATGTTTACGTACAGTGCTTTTCTTTAACACATGTTTCTACAAATAACCTTTTTAAATAAAATTATCAAAATTAAACAAGAGAGTTAAGTGAAATGATTCTGCCGCTAGTTCAGGTGTTTAGACAACGTCATGGAAATCGTCAATGGCTGTGTTTTTTTTATGTTTTAATGATTCCAGGTTCTCCAGAAGGGTAAACAATATATATGACCCCTGATATGTTGGTAATAGGAGTACACAATAAATAAAGGCAACAGTAGTATACCGCTGTTCGAAAC